GCACCATGGGGTGCAAATTTTCACTCCTTAAAGGGAGTAAAATCATAACCTTGGGTTCAAATTTACACCTTCTTGTGGGGTTGTAAATTTACTCCCTACATTAAGAGTAAGTTTACATTAAGAGTCGAAAACGGTATAGCGAATTGTCTGCTTTCTCTAATAATTTATGGAAACGTCAAAGCTTCCGCGCTTCGCGCTCAAGGGGAAACTGAATTCAGACAATTAGGGCTAATTAAGAGTCGAAAACGGTACAACGAATCGTTTGCTTTCTTTAATAATTTACATAACATGTATATTATTTGTGTTATCAAATGGGTCGACAAACTTACTATGCAAGGCCATAAGATGTCCCCCGCAACCTTCATCCACGGTTGTTATCACTAATGCACACCATGCAGATGGTAGCGTTCAGATTGTACCAAATAATGCACGGTCACTTGATCTATGTTGACGCTTCTCATGGCTACATTCTGTGCAAAACTTGCCAAAGAATTTATTGATCTCCAACCGGACAAAAACTCAGTTGAAGAAAACTGGACTTGGTTAAAAAAACTCACTTAATGAAACTGTCACCAAGTATATTCCCCACAAGCTCCTCAAAGGACGAATGCGAGCACCTTGGTTTACAAGCAAATTGAAACGTCTCTGCAGTAAGAAAGAGAAGTTTTATAGGCGTGCCAAGAAAAGTGGTGAGAAATTGGACTGGGAAAAATTCACCAGAGTACGCAAGCAAGTTGATCGTTCCATCAGGAATACACATAGAACACATGTTTCTTCTTTTTTTAGAGAATGGCCATCCTAACGATTTTTGGAGATATGTGAAATCAAGAAGAACTGATAACACTGGAGTTCAGCCGCTGAAAGCTAACAACAAGCTGTTCACGAATGACAAGGATAAAGCCGAAGCCCTTGCAAGCCAATTCCAGGGTGTCTTCACACGTAAGGATGTATCTCCGTCGTCGTTCCCAGATCTTAAGCGGACACTTTTTTTTTTTTTGGTCTCGAAATTTGAAAATTTTACATTTGTCTTCGTTGGGGGAGGGGGTAAGGTCACCTTTTTAGGTTAGCCGTGGGCATATATATATATATATATATATATATATATTTTTTTTTTAATAATAAAAATAAAAAAAAAAAAAAAAAAAAAATCCAAAGGGGAGGGGGGGGGGGGGGGTTTTAGGTTTTTTTAGGGGGGTTTACACACATAAAAATACCAAAGGGGGGTTTGAACCCCCCCCCCCCCCCCCCCCCCCCCTGCGTACGCCCCTGTGTCAAGTTATGTAATGGTAATTGTGTCAAGTTAAGAAGTGGTAAAAGGTGGCAGTCAAAGAAATCCCGCACTTCGAGGTACCTGAACTCTTTTGTTCCGTACTCAATCCGTCTGCTGAATGATATATAAAATGTAAAAAATGTATCACTTGTATCTTATTCTGTTCTATTTGATTGTAGGAAATGATCAAAAATATATATCTGTATTTATTATAGGACACGTATATTTCATTTCTTACAATAGCCATCTCTTTCTCAAATTAAATGAAAAAGTCTCTTTTCTATTTATACTCACATGTCGTAATATATTGCATGTTTATTAATACTGATCTCATACTGCCTTCAATAGGTATTCATATTTTATACATACTGCACTGAGTGCACCCATATTTAGGTTTCATGTATAGGGACAATAATTGTTGTGGATCTATCGGAATATCAGGATATATATATACATGGTAATTTTTCCACCATATAGACAATAACTATGATAAATCTCGTTGATTGTTAAACTGTTTGTGGTTAATGTTTGCCTTTTTATATTCTATTATCATAATGATATAATGAGTCAAACTAATGATAATAACAATACAAATAATAATAGTAATAATAGTAATAGTAATATTGATAATGATAATAATAATAATATTTAATGTGATATTGTTTTGGTAATTACTCTAAATACATGAACAAATATTGAATATAATATAAATTCAGAGAAAATATCTATATAATGTGCTATATGTTTATTCTCTCTATCTACTCGTTTTATGTTGTATTTATCATGTCACATGTACATTTTATTTATTTTTCTCTGTGAACAATGCATGTAAACGAAACGAATTTCCTTCTGGACCAATAAATTTGAATTGAATTGAATTGAATTATATTTCAGCAGTCATTGGACACCGGAGATCTCCCCCTAGATTGGAGAAAGGCGAATATCACCCCGCTGTTTAAGAAGGGTGCTACCACTCCCTGCAAACTACCGTCCCATTTCCTTGACATGCACATGCTGTAAGTTATTAGAGCACATCATAGAGAGTAACATGATACGACACTTGGGCAAGCATAACATCCTGGCTGGAAATCAACATGCCTTCAGGAAACACAGGTCGTGTGAATATCAGCTCATCCTTACAACAAATGACCTTGCCATGAACTTAGACAGAAATATCACCACATACTACATGGCAGTGCTTGATTTTTCAAAGGCTTTTGATGACTGATGTCATCCCGCACCAGCGTCTCCTCATGAAATTAGACTATTATGGTATTCGAGCAAATAATATGACATGGATATCTAGTTTCCTGACAAAGAGACTGCAACGTGTCTGTGTAAATGGTAAATGTTCCGAGTGGTTACCAGTCCTCAGTGTCACTCCACAGGGCACAATAGGCCCTCACCTTTTTCTACTCCACATCAATGACATTCATGAAAAGGTTACCAGTACAACACGACTTTTTGCTGGTGATTGTTTACCATTTCCGTCCCATCAAATCTGCTGAAGATGAGAAAGCTCTTCAACAAGACCTAGATACTATGGTCCAGTGGTCCAAGACTTGGGGCATGCATTTCAATCCCTCTAAATGCAAAACGATGCGTGTTTCAAGAAAGAGAACACCGGGTACTAAATCCTACAAAATCCTTGATGTTACCCTGGAGGAAACGAACCAGACCCTATACATGTACCTTGGCATCAATATCCAGAAAGATCTACGCTAGAATGTCCAGACTCATTACACAACCGGCAAAGCCTCAAGGGTCCTTAACTTCCTAAGGCGCAACTTCCATCACTGCTCATCTAATGTTAAAGAAAAGTTGTTTCTTACTCGTGTACATCCACAACTTGACTACGCCACTGCAGCATGGGACCCTTATACAGCCAAAAACATCTATGCTGTCGAGAAAGTTCAACGTCAGGCTGCACGTTTTGTCACCGATAATTACGGATGGGACACCAGTGTTACCAAACTACTCAACCAACTCAACTGGGGATCTCTTAAAGACAGAAGGGAAGCACACCGTCTTACCTGCCTCTTCAAAATGATCAAGGGACAACTCGACATCGACTACCAATCTCACACCAACCCTAAGCCAGACAGACGTAGACGAGGACACTCCAACCAATTTGAAATTCGCCACACCAACTCGACGTCTATGCCAACTCATATTTCCCAAGGACTGTAAAGACATGGAACAACCTACAACAAGCAACCATCGACCAAACCTCCCCGCTCTCATTTAAAAATGCAGTTACTAAAGAACTTTTTTCCAAAATGTAATCGTCCACCCTCCACCACCTCCAGTCAAAACTCTTCTTCGGAGTATTAAGGAGGACAAGAATCCAAGATCCCCAAGTTACAAAATGTACTAGATTTAGGAAAATCAAGGTTGACGCATTCCCGATCGCCGCCTGAGACGACGTAACGCATGCGCAGTGCCTTAAAATGACGTCACACGTTGCAGTCAAAGCTGTTGACGTGCACATCTAAAAGTCCCTAATGCCTTACCAAAGGGCACTAGCGCATCGACTTGGTTTCGAACCCGACTATCGCGTCCCTACAGTTATTCCAAATAATCTGGTCATGAAAATTATTGATAATCGTTTCATAAGCAAATGACACCATGAACTAACAGCAATCCTAACAAACATATTATTGATTTTACACCAATACATTTCTTCTTCTTTTCCTTTTCAAAATGTTGTCCCCTTTTTATAAAATCCTGAATCCATCCACGGTAATGCTTTCCTCCGGGAGACCCTCTTACCCACATCTCGATCATAAAGACTTTCGAGAATCAACCTCAGGGCGATCTCAATCCCCTATCATGATCCCTATAGAAATCATGGTCAGATTAATATGTCACTTTCAGGTTCATACATTTCACACAAGGTGGTGGCCAACACGGATAAGGCTATTGAAATGGAGATCGTGTTCCCTGTAGGAATCTAATTACCAATCGCACGATTATTGCCACCGCCCATTCCCATTATGGCAGTTGGAGATGATCGAGTAGCATGGGTAGGAGGCCGGGAAAGTCGGATGGGGGGAGGGGGACTGGGGTAGTTTTGCCCCCCTCCCTTTGAAATAGAAATAATTGAGAAACTACCTTCCTATATATCGGTAGCGAGGTACATTAAGAATCCCAAGATAATTTTCAATAAATTATCAAACTTGGGGAGGAAACTCTCCAGAAGTTAATAAAGTTATCAATTTCGTATATAAGGTTCGATTAAGAAATTTAGATTTGTTAAATAAATGTACAACACCCGCACAAACCTAGAGCTCTTTTCTCTTGTCTATACTACAAGACAAATTTAGATCTTAGAACAAATATCCTCAGAATCGTTTGACCAATACAATTTTTAAAAAAATGCTTTATTGAAATATATTTAATCAGGATAACAAGAATCAGATATGCATTGTAGAAACAAAATCTGTTTTACATCCTGGTCCTGTTGTTGTTTCGGTAAGATTTACATGACAATCATTCAATTTTCACTTATCACTGTTAAACGAGTTATGATTAATTTACCCTTCTTTCTCTTATTAAAGCTTATCCCTTATTTGTTGGTGTTGTATTTTTCGGGGGGAATGGAAGGTTATAGACGTATGAGATTTCAAAGATAAATGGTATCAAATAACCCATATGAGTTACTTAATGCCAACAATAGCTACAAGTATTAACGGCTTTAGTTTTAAGTCTCTACAAACAAGTTCCTTACCCAGATTCCCAGTGCGAACACCACGACGAAGTTAATAGCAATGACGGCGATATCCCACCCTGCAAGGTTGCCCGAAGTCAAGTTTCCCATGATGACGAGGGAGACGAGATACTGATACTGATCTGATAGAAGCTTGAACCGCGACGGAGGTCCTTTTCTGGTACGTCCTCCACCAATCACCTCAATCTTTTCCACTATTCTCTTTTTATAACGATGGTTCAAAAAAATCTCGCTTACTCAGCCCGTTGTTTTGGTTCAAAGCGGGACAAAAATTCAAAGTCCAATTATAAAGAATTATGAATGTACTCGTTCTACAAATAGGGTTATCCTCCTTTACCTTTACCCGAGATTCTGGAAGGATGCTGCGTTATTTGAAGAGAAAACATGATTTATAGTCATGGCACTGGCAACTAACGGGGCACATAAATTTGTTCGATTTATATTTATGTGCCTTAACTACATTCATTTCAAAGGGGACTGATAATTCAAGTATGAGGATTTTCTTTAAGTTCTTCCAAAAAACACAAATGTTTGGGATGAGGTTGGTTTGGGCACACTCTAGTGGAATTGTGGAGATGCCTTCCTTTGTCCATGCTCTACTTTCAGGTCTGTGTAAATAATAGTGTCGCTAAGAGAGGAGATGCCTTCTTGAATAATTTCGGCAAGATACAAAAGTATGTTGTCATGCGTTCAATACATGGTGTACTGTTTCTCTATTTTCACACTTTTTACAGTTTGCTGATGCTGATGATAAAGAAAGCAGAGAACACACACAAAATGGAAATATGTCTACAAATATACCAGAATTATACAAATTTAATTTAATCAATAGAAATGAATTGGGGGAACTGCAAATAAAACCGTAAGGTTCTATCGAGGCAGTCCCTTTTATCAAAAGATACAGTAGACGGAGAGAGAGAGAGAGAGAGAGAGAGAGAGAGAGAGAGAGAGAGAGAGAGGGAGAAAGGAACTTTCTTCGTCCTTCTGCTGTGAGAACATTGTGATTTGTCACAAATATTTATTCATGCCGCAGCTACAATATTAACAATGCAAAGACTCTCTACCGCAGACGGAAGGGGGTAGGGGGCTCTTCCCACCTCCATCCCTATCTCACTTATCGAGCGATGGTGGCCACGAAAAGAAAATGCACCAAAGTAAATTTGTATTAGTAGGCTACACATCACACTTTTAAATGTCAGAGGTGACATGAACAAGCATAAAGTAAAGACTCACGAAATGGTCACCCTTTTATCGCTCAATCGCACCCTCGCACAGTACATGTAGTAATAAACAATAATTTGAAATATAAAATACGGAGGAGATCTGCAAACCTTAATTAGGCAGAGATTTTATCAATAGTTTTAAATGGTGAAAGACTGAGAAAGAAGAAAAAGCCCATTTAAGAGTGCATTCAGGAGCTAGTTGACGAACACTTGCGTTGTGGGCCTTGTATTTATGGATGATAGGCGATTCAATGTTACTGTATAATTATGACATTGGAAATATAAAGTATTTCTACAAGGATAATTATATGCCTACGTTACATATATCAACGAACAAATGAAATCCCCTTGCCAGTAAAATATTAATGAAGTTCACGATCGCATTCCTATTCGAGAAATATCTGATTGCCATAATCAAGTTTAGGCCGTATTCAGCGCGACATGACTGCACGTTCAAAATTCAAAAGGTCCCATTTCTTTATACACTCAGTAAATAAGATCGATTTGATCGATCTGTATTGAAAAATTAAGTCAGACAAAATCTTGGAACCAGCGGGACTTGAACCTGCCATCTACTGCTTGCCGGGCAGCGTCTCTACCACCAGGCCGCCACTGGTCCATGGCACAGTCACGATGAACTGGAACAAATACCCAAGCTCTCCTGATTCATTCTGACTCATTAATATTCATTAGTCCGCCATAGGACAATAACTTTACAAACGTAATGCTTCCTGGGAGAAATTTCAATTATTTAAACATATTTGTAGCTTACAGTCCCATTTCTTGTTCCAAGAGTCAAGTCTATCACGAACTAGGGCAATTTTTTTCTTCAATAGCACAACTTTTAATTTACTAATAAAGTGACAGATATTAAGCAATATCTTATTACATCGGCAGCAAAAGAAATAATATAGGATTTCCCGGCGTAATTCGCGAGTTTGTCATTCGAATTCATATACTTTGAATTGAAGTAAACGCAGATCGGGTTTGCCATGCCAATCATCATTCAATTTTCCCGTTTCGATATTTAATTTAGGATTTGGGTCGCAGGATTTCATAGATCTGTCATTTAATTTAGAAACTGCTAAACTAGCATTCAAATTAATCGTCACTTGTCGAGGCGTCTTTTTTATCATTCAAATTAATACCTGTCATTCGTATTCAAATTATGTTTATTCAAGTTAGGAATGTTAGGGGGAAGAAATGCAACACACGTTTACAGTTTTACAAATGCAATTAAATGCATGATTTTCCATTGGGGTCTTTTCTGTTATTCAATTTATTAATTTTTAGGACAATGCATATGGGTGTAGTCAGACATTAGGCAAAGAAGGGGCGAAATCAAGGGATATGGCATTTCTGCACGGGCATGTTCATATATCCCGGAAAATTAAGTGGGGATACCAAAATACCTACCCCAGTCCCAATATTGTACCCTTCCTCCATAATGAAATTGTGATAAATTTATGAAGAAACACAAGACAAACAACTTCCTAACATGAAAATTTACAAACATATTGAGACCACCAAGTCCGTAGATGTAAGTCGTTTTTTTCTTCTTCTTAACAATCAAACTTAAATGATTATGAATATCAGATAAATCTAAATGTATATAAAGTGTATAAATGCAAGAAAAAAAAATATGATGAAATACACATAAAAAACAATCTTGAAAGAAAAAGGATGAGCTATAAAAAGTGTGTAAGAAACGAGAAATGTACATTGACCATCAATTTAAGTGCACAAAGTCCTAATTTGAATGCTACAAATGAATTAGAATGCTAAAAGTACACCTTCGCTATTTCAGAAATCGTGTTGCGCCAAATCGAACGACCAAATAGCGAAAGAAGCACATTATTCATTAATTTGAATGAACCATAAAAACATAGATTCTAACGAAAACTTCATAGATTTGAAAACTAGATCACTATTAAACGAGTTATGATTTATTTACTCTTCTTTCTCTTTTTAAAGTTTATCCCTTATTTGTTGGTGTTGTATTTTTCGGGGGGAATGGAAGGTTATAGACGTATGAGATTTCAAAGATAAATGGTGTCAAATAACCCATATGAGTGACTTAATGCCAACAATAGCTACAAGTATTAACGGCTTTAGTTTCAAGTCTCTAAAAACAAGTTCCTTACCCAGATTCCCAGTGCGAACACCACGACGAAGTTAATAGCAATGACGGCGATATCCCACCCTGCAAGGTTGCCCGAAGTCAGGTTTCCCATGATGACGAGGAAGACGAGATACTGATAGTGATACTGATACTGATCTGATAGAAACTTGAACCGCGACGGAGGTCGTTTTCTGGTACGTTCTTCACCAATCACCTCAATCTTTTCCACTATTCTCTTTTTGTAACGATGGTTCAAAAAATCTCACCTACTCAGCCCATTGTTTTGGTTCAAGCGGAACAAAGATTCAAAGTTCAATTGTAAAGAATTATGAATGTACTCTTTCTACAAATAGGGTTATCCTTCTTTACCTTTACCCGAGATTCTGGAAGGATGTTGCGTTATTTGAAGAGAAAACACGATTTATAGTCATGGCACTGGCTGTTACCCATTGTCTTTTTTTCTTCTCTGTAATGTTTATACCCATGTCTGTGTTTACATTGCATTTTTCGGTAGCTTGGGAGAGTGGCCAAATAGTGTTCTAATTACTCAGATAGTGGTTTGGAGGCCATTAACGATACTATGAATCTCTGATGGTTAATGTTTTAAATCAGTGAACAGAAGAAGGCGAGTACGGTTTCCCATACTAAAATAGGAAGAAGAATTCCATTAAAATCTATTAGTAATGAATATGATCTATAGCTAAGATTTTCAGGAGGTTTTGAGAGAAAACTGACGGTTAGAGTCAGGGGCGGCGATCCAAAGAGGAACAGGGGGACAAGTTCCCCCCTCGATTTTTTTAAAAGGATCGTCCCCACGGAAAATTTCAAAAAGTACACCCCCCCCAAAAAAAAAAAAAAAAAAATTAAAAAAAAAAAATTAAAAAAAAAAAAATTGTAGAGCAAATTCTGACTAAAGACTGCGACACACTTTTAGGCGCTGAATGTCTAAACAGTGCAGTGTTTAGACTAATACTAATACGAAAATCTTTTCGCTCCGTCCCTATGCTCCCTCGCATAATATCCTTCAAAATGTACAAGTAAGTATTGTAGAAAATCCGTATTCCGTTGATATCACGTAAGCACAGTTTACACTATGCTCTCTCGTCCTTTGCACTTCGTCCCCCTCCCCCGGTCATGAAAAGAAATCGCCGCCCTTGGGTAGATTTATAACGAAGGATTGAACTTAAAGGAAAAAAAGCAAGATGAGATACTGATTAACGTCGAAATTCACGTTCTAGAGGCGTGGACCGTGATGGAGGGCGTTTTCTCGTGTTGGACTTCACTAATCACCTCAATCTTTCTCCACAAAGAGGCTTATTTTTTTAACGATGGTTTATATATCTAAATTACACATCAGATTGTTTTGTTGAGCGGGTCAAAGAATCAAAGTCGAATTGTCAAGTATTATAGTACTACAGATAAGCCTTATCCTTCTTGTATTACGTTTATTTGAAGAGAAAAATAAAGAAGATTTATAGTCATGGCACTCGCTGATACCCATTGTCTTATCTCTGTATTGTTTATACTGATGTCGGTGTTATATTACATTCGCCTCGCCTTTGCCACACATTTTCTAGAACAGCATTATTCAATCAGATACATATTTTGTTTAATCTCGATGAAGCACAAGATTTTTTTTTACTTCGTCTTTACAATATTAAAAGGAAAAAACAAAAACTGTCATTTACCGACACTCACAGCACCGTGGGGCTTTTCAAAGCCATCTATACACAATTTGGCCAAAGTGGTTTTAGTTGGTCACAACATGGCGTTTAGTCTTTTGTTCTTTTCTTGTCTAACAAAGGCATTCGAAATGCTTATATCGAGAGGGCGCCACCCACGCTGCACACTAGTTTGCAGGCACAAACTCGCTGAGCTTAAAGGGAGTGTAGCCTGACGAGACTACGTGTCTTTCCCTCCCATGGCCTCACTCGGCGCCAATCGGGTAAAACACGACTACGGACGACGCAACATACGCGAAACTGGAGCGTGAGGTGAACTTCGGTCTGTTTCGCCAACGCTGACCGTCTAGAGATTCAGACGCTGATTACCATTAATAAAGTCCATTCGTTTACGTGCAGTTGTCCAACAGTAGATGGCGTTAACCAGTATTTGCCAAACTACACTTACTTCAACAGTGTCTACGCTGCGAGACTATACTTCGGCATACTGCATATAGCCTCTTTGGCAGGGATTCGAACTTCGTACCTTGAGGGTCATCGTTCAGAGACTGTTTATAAACAGTGGCCTTAGATGAGACGCAAGCTGTCTATTCAATTTCTACGAGTGTTCTGGTCTGGGTAGGAGCTTGTTATTATGGAGTTTTCTTTCAAATCATTCAGGCACAGTATGATCCCGAAACAGAGAAAAAAGAGTAGCTCGGTTTTAATAACAGCAGAAAAATGTGACTTTTAGATAAAGAAACATATATATAGTATGAAGAAAATTGGACACTTTATTAACACGGGTATGATTTTTTCAAAGACATGATAAACAAAGGAAACTAAGAAACTACACGTAACCTTTGTTATGAGTTTTTAATGTCGTTCCGTCACTATTATCATTTGGTGTGTAATACATTTTTGTAATGTCAAGTTACCTTTTTATCCCCCAGTCAAGTTGATTTCTCCTGCCGTCGACAATGTTTTATGGACCTATATCAGAGTTTTCAAACCAACGTTCGATTTCTTTTCAGATATTCATTTAATGTTTATAGCTCCGAATATAAGATCCATAGCAATATAGAGACACTTATTTAACATGAATCCTAGATATTTCTACATGACCTGTTATGGTATCGAACGTATAGCAATCCGTCTCGCTATTTAAAACGATTTTTTGATATCACAAATTCGAATTTGTGATATCACCAAATGGAATAAGTGATATCACGAATTCAATTCAATCGTAACATGAATTACTTATAGGCCTATGTTGCCAATCTAAATAAAAACAAGTTGATTTTGAGACTATTTTCTTGATTGAATTATGATGCAAATGAAAACATGTATTCTGTTATGCGATATGTACAATTACAGGCAAATATGTATCATGAACAATGAAAACTCGAAACTATTTGAAAAAGAATGATGAGTTTCATTTTAATTAACAACATATCATTACTTGTAATTGAATTCTCGATATGGTGGCACTCAATTTACTTCTATCAATTCGTCTAAAATTATTTCTAAATCGTTTCCAGCGAATCAATGGATGCGTAAAGTCTCTTCCTATTTTTGTTTTAACTTATATTACATTCTGTACAAAGTGAATGCTCGAATACCCAGCTGAATTTGAGCACGCAACCTACTCGATACCCAGCTGAGCTGAATTTTGGCACAAAACTAAAGCTCGAATTGCCTAAAGCTCGAAATCCCCGTGATTTTTTGCACAAAATAAGTGCTAGAATTCCTTTTCCATTCTGTGATGTCCAAAATTCGATTTCGTGATATGGCACGGATTGAATTCGTGATATCATGAATTACAGAGGCAAATATTTACCGTTGGTGAAGGGGACAAACTATCACTTCCGAGGCATTCTGGATGTTGCTATCTTTCCGAAGCGAAGCTGAGGAAAGAAAGCGTATACATACAGATCACCGAGGAAGTGATAGTTTGACATTGCCTGAAACTAAAAGATGATCATTTGCCAAATATTCCACATCGGAAACATTTCACTTCTTCCGTCATTTTAGAGCACCAAGTCGTCAATTAACAGCTAGCAAATGATGTACGATACGTGTAGTACTTACGTACGTACGTATACGCAACGATATCATCGGTAAAGTGCGTTGCACTGTTAAGTACTCAGTGTAGCGAACTTTTCTTCTCCCATCAATGATGGGCGAACAATCTTTCATCACGTTATTTAATTTTGACCAATCGTAGAGCAAGATTCTTAGTATGACGGTGGAATATAATACGTGATATCACGAATTCAATTCGTGACATCACGAATTCCATTTCGTGATATCACACATTCGAATTCGTGATATCACGAAATTGAATCAGTGATATCGAAATATCATTTTAAATAACAAAACAGTTTGCCATAGAGATGCTTTTTGCCAACTCTGCATTTTTTCAGAAGCGCTATAAAGACAACGTGTCACGTGGTGAGTCTACACATGACGATCCTACACATACTGATTACATACAATAACATGGCACATTAACCTCAGCCAATTCAACGTTTACATTTTTGGCGAAACTAACGGTATCCCCGGAGAGTTGCCAATTAGTTCTCAGTTGCTGAGACAGCAGGGGCGTCGCTAGACCTTTTTCAGTGGGGGGGGGGGGGGGGGGGGGGGGTGTAGAGGCCAACGATTACCGACAAAAGTAGCCACCAATTACCGACAAAATTAAATTTCCAATATCTACAAAGTCAATTCTATAAATCTGGGGCCGAAGGCTAAATTGTGTTTCCTATGGACTATCTATAGTACTTGCATATGCGCAAAATGGTCATTTTCCTCGACGGCATTAATATACGAATTATTTCTTAAATTTAGTCAGCATCATAGCTATATATTTTAATGCAGGCGCGGAGCTAGGATCTTATTTTAGGGAGGGGCGGTAGTGAGCAAGAGAATCACTTAAAAGCGCGCTCATAAGGGGGTGTGGGTGATGAGCCTCCCGCGCGAAGCGCGGAAGCTTAGACGTTTCCTTAAATTATTAGGAAAAGAAGACGATTAATTGTACCGTTTTCGACTGGTAATCCTAGGCTGAATGAAGTTCCCCCCCCCCTCCCGCGCGAAGCGCGAAAGCTTTGACGTTTCTTTAAATTATTATATAAAAAAGAAGACGATTTGCTGTACCATTCTCGACTGTTTATCCTTTTCTGAATTCAGTATCCCCCCGCGCAAAGCGCGGAAGCTTTGACGTTTCATTAAATTATGAGAAAAAGCAGACGATTCGGTGTACTGTTCTCGACTCTTTATCCTAATCTGAATGAAGCTTCCCCCTCCCGCGCGAAGCGCGGAAGTTTTGACGTTTCATTAAATTATTAGAGAAAGAAGACGATTCGTCGTACCGTTTTCGACTCTTAATAAGCCCTATTCATCTGAATTCAGTTTCCCCCTCTCGCGCGAAGCGCGAAAGCTTTGACGTTTC